GTGGAGAGCAGCTCCAGCATTTGGACAGGTTCAAGCCTCGGACTAATGAGAGGGCACGGTCCTCTCGTGGCAAAGCCACCTGCAAGTCCCAGCACAATTGTAGCCAAAGGCTATACGTAGTTATAAGCTTGACCTTATGGTCCAAGCCTGTAGCCCCACGTGGCTGAGTGCAGGTGCATGTAATTGAGTAGATTCGAAATCCATGAGAATGTTGTAACCACGCCCTTACTTTACCTCGTGGAATCTGGCTATAAAATAAAGACTTGGCTTGAAGGCTGTGGCACTGTCGCTAGCTCTCCATCAGAGGGGACAGCGTCCCACCCAGGCCCAGCTTTCCTCTCTTGTCTGTCTTTTCTCAGTCCTCCACTGCCCCCTCTCAGGCTCACCAAACCTAGCTGTGCTGGTGCGGCACATCTGGCGCCCAATGTGGGGCAAGTATGGGGAACAGGGGCCTGAGCTTAGGTTCACCCATGGTCATGCTGGCTTGGCACAACTGGGTCATTCCCAAAAAGAATGCGACTGCTCAATGGGCAAGATCTTGTATTTGAAAGGCTGCGTCCTCTTACCTGTCTTCACAGTGATAAGTAATGGTAGATCCTGAGTTGAAATTTTTTCCTTCATAATAGCCATGAGCTGGGTTCCCAGGAGGGCCACAGTCTCCTGAGGGACAGGAGCATAGGAGAGACAGTTTTGAAGTTCAGTTATACTCAATTAACAACACCCCCTATGTGTAATTGTCTATGCCAGCACCTACTATCTGCATAGCAGCACATGTGGCAGCTAGGGACATGTATGTTCTCCAGTCATTTCCTTCTCCTCAAAATCATATCTGTCCATGGGAAAGGCCCCCTCCCTGGGCTCATCTTGAGACATTAGCGATTTGAGAGTACTTTTCTGATTGGCAGGAGCTCAAGGAAAGGAAGGTGAAGTGGTAGAGATGCTAATTGTCAATATACAAGAAAAGAAAATTTAGCCCACAAACAGAAGTCGAAGAAGTAACTCTCTGAAACAGGAAATCAATAGTGTGAGCTCAAATGGAGGCTGACATCCCCCAAGGGACAGAGTTATACAATGAGAGCTTCATAAAAAATTTAAAAAAGGAGAACAGAGCTTAGATCATTGAGGATGAGAATTGTGGAAACAGAGCTGGAGGAGGTACTGGATGTTGTGAGTTTTAGTTCTGGCTCTTCCAGTAACCACGTGGCACCAAAGAAGACATTTCATCCCTCTTGGCTTTCTTCCTAACCTATACGATGAGCAGGTGAAATGATATTATGCTTTCAGCTCTGAGATTAAGTCTAAATATGTTGATCAAGATTAAAGGCTAAATCAAGAATAACTCCATAGGTGTATATTTATTGAAACATAAAGGTATTCAACACATATAGCTGAGTAAAAACAGCAAGACATCGAAGCGTATGTATAATATAATATAATTGTTGTAAAACACCATCATATACAAACATATATGAACAACAATGAGAAAAGAAAAAAGCGTTGTTCACTAAATGCTGCTCATTTCCCGGGAATACACCGGAGCTGAGACCCTGCTCCGTGAGCTCCCCATGTTTCTGGGCTGTCTGTTAGATCCTAATCCAGCCGTGGGCAAACTACGGCCCGCGGGCCGGATCCAGCCCGTTTGAAATGAATAAAACTAAAAAAAAAAAAAAACAAAAAAAAGACCATACCCTTTTATGTAATGATGTTTACTTTGAATTTATATTAGTTCACACAAACACT